TGTCAACATTTTGTAATAAATTTGTCCGGTGATGATAAGAGAAAAGGAATTGTGAGTTCAGAGCAATGATGAAACGATTAAAATGATAAATACCTTTGGAGTCAAAAATAAGAAAATTCATAAACGAAGAAATAAAAGAAAAATGGAGATTGAAATCGTATTTTTGTAAATTCAATATAGCATTTATGAGTGAAGACAGGAAAATGCAATATATACTGAAAATCCTTTGTAAGTACACGAAACACAAGAAATAACTTATATATTTGTTTGTTTGTTTTTTGCATTCTTTACAGAGATAAACCCGAGGAAAGCAATGAAGAACAAAGCTGTTCTACTTCCGTGATTTCATTGTGAAAGATTTTATAAAGCCATGTGCCTCTTTTATTCTATTTCATACCTCGAACACACGTAATATCATTCAACAAAAGCGGAAATGATACGTATACACGAGGGTGCTCAGATATTTCATTCACTTTCTCTTGCCAAAATAATTCGACATTTTCTAAAATATTCATAGCCTCGAATGTGCTCCTTTTTCCTTGTATGTTATTAAGTATTCAAAAGTTAATCATGCCAAGTGGTATTAAATCAAATTCTAAAAGACAAGCCTTTTATGCTGAAAAATATATGCAATTTATTGAATTTACAATAATATATATGTTTTGTTCATTTCGTAAACTTCATCTTCCTTTTTTTATTTTGTATCATAAAATGTTTTTGAAATTATTCATTACTACGATAGCATAACTACATAAATCGCTTTTATGAACAAGGGAATTCAAACGTTATAAGATCTACAGCAAAACTTTTAAGATAACGATACGTTCTGCAATACATCATATTTATTCTATAACGTATAAATATATTCCTCATTCATTTGTGAGATCTACCGCTGGCATTGATATCAGCGTGCTTTTGCCGTATTGTAGGCGTGTGTATGGTAAGCTGAGTAGTGCAGCGTAGTGAAACTTATCTCTGTTCTATACGGTAATCTATAAGGTAATCTGCAGCTCCCTCATGACGCCAGACGATGTGCATAAGGGACTGCAGAAAAAAAAAAACCTACCGTGAGGGGACTCGAGCGAAGGGATCCACGCAAGGGAATCACAAGCTTGTATTTCGTGCTATTTCACAGGTCTAATTAGCAGTATAATATGCTGTACATATCACTTCTCATTAGCGTATACATGTTGAGGAGATTCTATGAATATGTGTGCATGTGCGTGTTTGTGTGTGTGTGTGTGTGTGTGTGTGTGTGTGTGTGTGTGTGTGTAAGTTCGTGTATGTATGTGCATTTCCTGAAACTTTCCCCGTTTCCAGTTCTAACCTGTGTATTTCCCCCCAAGAAATTGGCGACTTCACTTAGTCTTTCCATACAATATGATTACTCGCCAAGGATTTAGGCCTCTCCAATTACCTACAGAAAGCCGTACATCTTCACAAAACGAACTACGTACTTGCACACTTAGACCACTTCCCTTTCTTCGCTTGACGTTATAGAGTTTGTTATTACATAGTATGTTATTAGGTTTTATTTTATTGTGTCTTGTGTATAAAGTGAAGATAAAAAGTAGATGTTTTCATAACCTTATAAAAGGTTATCTTTCCGCCAGCGTGTATGCTATCGAAGTTCAAATGAAGATAAGATATTTTTGGATTTACACACACACATGCATCTACACCTATACCTACATGCGAGTATACATGTGTATACAGTGTACACACACATATAGATGGATAGATAGATGTGAACAAAAATACAAATAATGTAGGGTATACATAAAGATAAAATGAAACCCAAAAAACAATGTTCAGTACTGTCTTTTGATTTTTTTTTTTTTTTCTTTTTTCAGTAAGGTCAAGTAAAAAATATATATATCTTTGGTCCAATTAACACACTCCCTCTGGAGAGAGGTCTGTAGGTCGGTTATTTATTCATTTATTATCTTTTTTTTTAAGTTCTGTCAGCGGGCTGCCATTTTGATATAGAAATGACGCACGCTCGCCCCGTCCACTATCGCCGGTGAATAGTGCCAATAGACGTTAAGCAGTCCCGACTTTTGCTCACTGTGCTTTTGTAGTTATATATCTGGCCGTTGTGGCGCTAGGGGTTGTGTCTTGGTGGTATTTTTTAAAAGGTTTTTCGAGTTGTGGTAGACGGAAATTTTGGTCGGTCGGGTTACATGAACCAAAGGTATTTTACGAATTCATCGAGTTACGGATATGAAAGGGGTGTTCGAGCTTACTTGGGACAGACAATTTGATAGAAAATACGTAATGATATTTTTTCCCCTGCTAGGCACACACATTTATATACGTGAAAAATTATACATACAGAAGTGCATAAGTGTATAGAGAAATGAAACCAATGACATAGCCGTTTATCAGTATTGTAGGATGGTGTTTACCTTGTACATGAAAGTGTTGTTCGTCTCGCATGGCACGGGCAATTTATTACGTGGTATGCAATGGTAATTTTTCATCCTACACACATCTGTTT